ATGCATGATTTTTTTTTATATTTTTTTTATTTTTCAAGGATAAATGTGTGTTTATTGAAATAAGATTGAACTAATTTCAGTTATTTTGTCCAAAATAATGTGATATTTTTCAGCTTTTTCTTTCTTATTTCTTATTTTCCTTTATTGTACAATTTATTTTGTTCATGAAAATAAAAGTCCTAAATTTGCCATAATGAAAAATGGGAATGGAAACTATTATAATGAAATTTTAGGGTGATGAAAATAAAATGGCCCTTGTATCCTTAAGTTACAAATTTGCCCTTCTTAAACATTCCATTTTGCCAAAAATAAAATACTTTTTGGAGCATAGTGCAATGAATTTTATATTTTCAAGGGGGACTTCTCTTTTTTATATTTCAAGGGGGTGTAGTGCAAAAACTTGATTTTTTGAGGGAGAGAAGTGTTATTTGCTCATATTAAATTACGGGTCAAACTTTAATTGAATTTGTTTTCCCATTCTCTTAAATTAGAAGCACAATAATGTAAGAACAACTCTAGTGGGAATATCAGATGGTTTATCAAACACATAAACCATTCTTTTGATATCTCAAAATTTAGAAGGAAAAAAAACACCTTCAATGAAAGTATCAAAATGGATGCGTATTTTGATATTCCACCTGTTTTGATTGTTCTATGTAAAAACACTTCCAGATAGATTGAATTATAAAAAAAATAACTGTCCAAAAATTCAAATACAAGTTGACATGTGATAATTATAAATAAAATTACTCATACACTGCCAATTAATAATTAATTGGGTAAAATTCATTTTATACCCTTGTACTGCGAAATGTGTCATTTGCCCCATGATATACATAAAACATCAAACGTCCCCCCTTTTCTTACGGTTAATGGTCAGACTTTTAAGGGTGTTAAATTTGAGTGAGCAATAACTCGTTAGGATTTTATTTCTATTTTAGGTTTTAAAGGGGTTTTAAGTTAATTTTTTTTTTTGGGTTTTGCGATCATTATCTGCAAGCTTTATTTTAATTGATTCGATTTTTCATTTTTTATTGCGAAAATAAAAGAAAAATGGGCCGTAAAGTGTGAAAATTTTGCTAAAACTTAGCAACCTATATATATATATATATATATATATATATATATATATATATATATATATATATATATATATATATATATATATATATATATAGGATTATTGAGATATTTTCGTCAGAAAAAAATCAATAACTCTTTGCAACAGTCGGTCAAAGGATCTGACCAACGAAATTAGGAAAAAGGCTAGCGATAAGGGGGCGTTTGAAGTTTTTTCATACATTAGACGGATAAATGATACCTTTCACATATTACAGAAGTGCAAATATAAAATTTACCCTAATTAATTTGATAAATAGGTTTGAAGTTAATGAATTTTAACTATATATTAGAATTTTATTTGAAAAATCAAATAAATATTAGATAACTCATTATAATATTTACCAATGAACTTTCTCTGAAGTTTGGAAATATGGATCTGAAAACGGCAAAACTAAAAAAGAAAGGGAAAATTAGTAATAACCTCATCATCTACGAAATGAAACGCCCCTCTAAAAAATAATTAGAAAAAATCCCTAACTAATAATCCACTCAAATGATATTTTTATTATTCCAAAACTATCCTTAATTGTTCAATATACTCTTTCAAAACCCTAATTATTTTTTACATTATTTTTTGCCATTTTTTTTCTCTCTTTTCTTCTCTTCACACTCTCTTCTCTTTCTCTCTCTTCTTTTTCCCTCTTTACAAGATCCGATCCGAGTATTTGGTGGTGGTTCGGCAATAGGGCAATTATAGAAGGCGGCGTGGGCGGAGGTTGGCTCCTGGGGCTTCGAGTGGAGCCGGGAGCAGGACGATGGGGGCTGCAAAATACGCACTCAATGTAGTTTTGCTTCATTCTACTTATTCGTAATGAATTTTTAATCTAATTTTGCTGCATATTTTTTGATATGGGTGGCTTTGTTTTGGTGTTTTTTCAAGGTGGTGGTTCTGTTTTGATTGGTGGTTCGAATTGTGATTTACTGCACTTTTTTGATATGGGTGACATTGTTTTGGTGGTTTTGAAAGTGGTGATTCTGCTTTGATTGATGGTCCGGGTTCTGATTACTTATTTGTATAAAAAACTGTTAGAATATGGAAGCGGGGTGGTGATGGTGTGGTGTGGCGGCGACGTGGTGACGATGAAGAGCAAATCTAGGGTTTTTTGATGGATTGGGCAGAAGACGGCGCATAAATATAAATTCGCGCAGGTTGGGCCCTTAATCGACTATGTTCAGTAGTCGATTAAGGTTAATCGTCTCCAATTTTTAATTTTGTTTTTGGATATTTTGTTTATTGATCAAATTGTATAAATCAATTATAATGTTTGTATATTTTTTTGTTTTTTGTAAAATATAATTGATTTTGCATTTTTTTGTAATTGTGATTTGTTATTTTTAATTAGTAGTCAGATTCTTAAGCGACTATGCTTCACAGGCGATTAATATACCCGATAGAGAAAAAAAATTAAAAAATAAAAAATAATATTTTTTTTAAAGAATTTCCTTAACCGACTATGCTTATGAAGCATAATCGATTCATAAAACTCATACAGAAATAAAGTTAAAAAAAATGTTGATGACCAGCGCGTGATGCAATGATGATGTGTCAGGTGGGGGCAAAATTGAAAAAAATAATGACTGAAAATGGATATGTACTTTTCTCAAATAGAACAAAATATTTTGAGTTCTCCCCATTAAAATAAGTAATGTGGGGTTTTCTCAACTAGTCAAAAAAAAAATATAAACTTGGATGAAATGAATGTCAGTGAGAAGATAACATCTCTTATCCAGAAAACAGAATGGGGCTTTGCACGCATAGCGAGGCTTGCCAATACTGTATATGAAGCATCTTTGTGTCTGGATAGTCTCCCAAATTAATTAATTCCCAACTCCAAACTATTGTTTGCTTAATACATGCCCACGTAAACATGTCTCATATCCACTACTTAAAATTAATTGGTCTATTATTTCTTAAGGTTAGCCTAACTTATACGATTTGTTGGATTCAAAATCAAAACTGAAAAGGTTTATATTTGTCTCGTAAAGAATGACCAATGTTAATTCACCAAAGTTCGAATCATCTTGTCAGTAGTCTCTAGGTGGAGTTTGTCACACATGATTAGTGTAGCGTGATTGACGTCTCTTGTATGATTTGCAAGTTATTTTACGATAGTGTTGCACCTACCTTTTCAACTGCAGGCTCCTTCATTACCGAAAAAAAAAAATCTGAAATGAATGTCTGCGATCCAAATAAATGAGATAGTGACTTACTAGTGAAATTTTGTGGAATGCCTCCTCAAATCAATGAACATTAATTATTTTTAGATGTAAGAGTTTAAGTAATCATAAAGATAAAAAGAATAATACTATTTCAATTAAATAAGTGTATAAATGAAATATGGCTTAGTCTCAATTCACACCCTCAAAATATAGTATTTTTGCACTTAGCATTCTCGAAAAAATTAATGTCACTTTACACCCTCGAAACACAAATGAAGTTCATTTTATTTTTTATTGGGATGCAAAATAAATATTTAAATTATTATTTTCTTCAACTTCTAACCTAATTTTAAGGGTACAAAATGTGGAAAAAAATTCGCATTGAGTTACTTTAAAACTAGATTTTCTCATAAGAAAAAAGACATCACATTTTCTCAGTAAATTATTCAATTGATAAATCTTTTATTGTAATTGGTGAAAATATTTGGTAGAAATCTTTGTCGGGAAATTTAATTTTCAAATAACTTGACTAAAAAAATAGCCGAAGGATTTATTTATTTTTTATTATTTTTTTTATAAAGTGTATATGTGATAAAAAAATATATTTTTTTAATATGTTGATGATATGAATTTTTATTTTTTGTGGTTTCAAAAGTATTGATGAATATAAAAAAAGGATTTAAGATTTGTCATCCTAAAAAAATATCACTAAAACTATTAAATTACATTTGCTAGCTTAAAAATTCATTTCGGGTGCATTGTGCATGATCCAGTGCGTTTCGAGGACATACCCATTAAGAAAAATAAACTTTTGAAAGTACATCCCACCATCCCTTCCCCCCCACCGTACGGTATTCCATTTGGTAAATAATTATACCCATTCGGAATAAGAAATTTTTGAAAGTATAAGGAAATTACATGCATATATTAAAATATAGGGTTAAATAAAGTTGACACCCATAAAGTATACCCTTGTAACAATTACCTCCTTAAAGTATGATTTGTAACACTTACCCCCTCCCCTCAACCATAATTTAATTGGTATTTTAAAGTCTAATACCTTAAAAAAAATATCATTGAAAGAAATAACTTAAAGAATAATTAAATTATATAATTAAAAATTTATGTTGAAAAATGCAATATTTTAAAATTTTAAAACATGATGTTGCGTTGGGTACATATTCAATAAATAACATCTAATTGTTGTTGGACCAATTAACCTAATATATTGATATGGATGAATTTTAAGAAATCAATACATAACTTATAGTAATCTTAAGTATTTAAATTTATTTTAGTTCGTTAATTTCTTAAAACATATGTTCATTCATTATGAAATATATATATTACTTTTTTAATTTATTTTATTCAATAATTCAATTTTAGTTACTTTTCATTTTTTTATGATCCGATAAATTATTATATTATTATATTTATTATTTTTCTAATTCTAAAATATAAAATAGTCGATGTTGAGGGGGTAAGTGTTACAAATGATACTTTAAAGGGGTAAGTGTTACATATGCTATAGTCCAGTGGTGCAAAGTGTATTTAACCCTATAATATAAAGAGGCCATATGCTATATTAAAAGTACAAGAGGGTCATGTGCATAAAATTCAAACCTGTGATATTTTACCCAAAAGAAAAGAAAAAATTGTAGATTTCACACTTGAGAATTTGGGGGAGTCGGACTTATTTATTAATTGACCCAAATTTCCCCGCAATTCAATGATTCAATAATCCCAAGCAAGCAAACACCACCCGAAACCAACCATGGAGAAATTTAATTTCAGAACCCAGGTGTTGATCAGGCACCTCCAACAAACCACCGCCACCGCCACCGCCGCGGCAATTTCACGATCGCCATGCCTGAGCTACGCGCCGCCGGAGACTTCCGAACCGCCGTCTCCGTTCGACGTGAGTTCGATGCGGAAGCTGATGGACGGCCACAATTTGGTCGATCGGGACTGGGTTTTCAACCTAATGATTCAGAGCAAGCTCTTCAATCCGAAGATGAGAGGCGGAAAAGTGTTCGTGGTGCCGGATTACAACCAGTCGATGGAGCAGCAGAGGGAGATCACGATGAAGAGGATTCAGTATCTGTTGGATCACGGCGTTTTCGACGGCTGGCTCACCGGTCGAGGGTTCGAATCCGAGATGAGGAAGCTCGCACTTTTGGAGGTTATCGAGATTTTCGACCACTCCCTTGCTATCAAAATTGGCGTCCACTTCTTTTTATGGTATATTAATTTTGTGCTGTTGTTTTTTCGATTTTGATTTTATTTTGTCAAATTAAGTTTCTAATTATCGGAATATTTATTGTGCTTGAGATTTTAAATTTGATCTGATTTGCATGCTTATTGAGGTTTGACTTGGTTAGTGAAAACTATTTTTACGTTGCTTATTAACTTGAGGGTAAATTACAGTCACCCCACCCCTGAGGTAAGGTCAAATTACGAAAAATCCCCTCCTAATTGGGTAGTTATACTTATAACCACCCCTTAGCTACGAATCTTCTTACACGTATATCCTTATGGTGTCAAATTTAACGTAATCTTCTAGATTGCGAGGAATGTTATATAGTTTGTACTCGTTTTCTGCAAGCAAAAAATGCAGTTTCTGACGCACCGCAATCTGATATTTACGGAGCATGAATGGGGTAAAATATGTACAAACTGGAGAATATTATTCAAGAAGATTCCACTAAATTTGACACCGTAAGGGTGGACGTGTAAGAAGATTCATTGTTGAGGGGAGTCATTGCAATCACCCAAACATGAGGGTTTTTTTTTTTCGTAATTTGACCTTACATTAGGAGAGTGGCCGTAATTTACTCTTAACTTGATCGGTACAATTTTCGGTTATCGTATGGTATTTTGTGGCTCAATTAACTTGAAGAGTTTTAATGATTTTTTTTTTATATATAATTGTTGATGGTTCAGGGGTGGTGCTATACAGTTTTTTGGAACGAAAAGGCATCACGATAAGTGGCTGAGTGCAACAGAGAATTACTTGATCAAAGGCTGTTTTTCGATGACTGAGTTAGGACATGGAAGTAATGTATGTAAACGTAATTACTCGATAAGATTTATTTATTTTTCTTTCTTTCGAAAAAATTCCCGTTAGAAGGCGTTTGATTTTGATTGTATGCTTTTTCAGGTTCGAGGAATTGAGACTGTAACGACATACGATTCGAAATCCGGGGAGTTTGTCATCAACACTCCGTGCGAATCGGCTCAAAAGTACTGGATTGGGGGTGCGGCAAATGTAATTAACTCCTTGTCGAAAACTCTATTTCTTATTTGATTGCTTAGAATTGGTAATAATATGTAATCGAGTCTCTTTTTCTTGAATTGAATGGTTTTGTAGCATGCGACACACACAGTCGTCTTTTCGCAGCTCAACGTTGATGGAAAAAACGAAGGTGTCCATGCTTTCATCACTCAGATCAGAGATGCAGATGGAAATATATGTCCCAATATTCGAATCGCTGATTGTGGACATAAGATTGGTTTGAATGGTGTTGACAATGGTCGAATATGGTAAACCACAATTTTTAATTGGATAAAGTTTAAACCTTTTTTTCGTATAATTTTTCCAAGTTATTCTGATACTCTCTGTATTTTTTTATTTCAGGTTCGACAATGTTCGAATTCCTAGAGAAAATTTATTGAACTCGGTTGCAGATGTTTCTCCCGATGGAAAATATCTAAGTGCAATAAAGGACCCCGATCAGGTTTTTTTCTTCCTGTCTTCGTCTTCATTGTACTGATCTTTCAGTTTTATTTAAATAATGTATCGGGTGTTCTAAATATTAAAAGTCTAATCGTCGTACATAAATATCGAATATATTTCAGAGATTTGGTGCGTTCATGGCCCCACTGACATCTGGGCGTGTCACCATAGCTGCAAGTGCCGTTTACTCGGCAAAGGTGAGCCCTAGAGACATTAGCTGGCATTTCTTTCGCCGACTACTTATTAAATAAAAATGATTTGACGTATTTAATTTTCTTGAAAACAGATCAGTTTAGCTATTGCAATAAGATATTCATTGACGAGGAGGGCGTTTTCGATTACACCAGATAGTGCTGAGGTTCTTTTGCTTGATTATCCTAGTCATCAGCACCGCCTTCTGCCTCTTCTTGCAAAGACGTGAGTATTTTGTGTATACGTGTCATTTGGATTTTATAATTTATTTATATATTATTATTACAAGGTGCTCGTTTGTGCTGCTACAGATATGCTATGAGCTTTGCTGCAAACCACTTGAAACTGCTGTACGTGAAGAGGACTCCACAGTTAATAAAAACACTTCATGTTGTTTCCAGTTCATTCAAGGCTATTCTGACGTGGCATAACATGCGAACTCTTCAGGTTTGGCATATTTTAATATTTATATCTTATTTTCTATTTATTGACGAAGCTCTTACACTAGAGGAAATATTTTATTCAGGAATGTCGTGAGGCGTGCGGAGGACAAGGCCTCAAGACGGAAAATCGTATTGGCCAATTGAAAGGTGAATTTGACGTGCAATCTACTTTTGAAGGAGACAACAATGTTCTTATGCAACAGGTACAATTGATTCGTTAGTAGTACTTCCAAGATAGTGTGTAGAAGTCAAGTGATTCTGAGTTATGTTTAGGATAAGTGCTTATTTGTAAAAGTTGGGTGTTTGCTAATACTATGAAAAAATCAACTTTAAGTAACTAATAGACAATTTATAGTGTTTGGAAATACTCTTAACTTTCAAATTGGATTTTTTGGATGTCGGAAAATAATGGTGAAAACGTCAAATGCTTTTTTTTGTTAGTTACAGAAGTGCTTTTAAATTGGAGAAGCAGCTTCGAGGGTGCTTCTTCTCAGGCTATGGCTTAAAACTGCTTATTTTTAGTGAAACAGAAGCAAAAGCTAGTATTGCAAACATAAAAGCTCATAATCGGTTTTTAAAAGCTTTTGCAAGCACCACCTATGTAACCAGAGAAAACGTTTGTGTGCTATTGAATTGCTTAAATATTCGATTTTGAAAAGTTTGGACTCATTTGGCGGTGCAGGTTAGCAAAGCACTGTTAGGAGAGTATTTGGCGGCAAAAAAGAGAAACAAACCATTCAAAGATTTGGGACTTGACCACATGAATAAATCTTGCCCTACGATTCCTTTGCAGCTCACAGCTTCCACAGTCAGGAGCGTTCAGTTTCAGGTATAGATAAAGCTGCTCATTTTTTTTCTTTTTTCTTTTTTTTTTTTATTTTTTATTATTAACTTTCTCAAACGAGTTATTCCGACACATTTGGGAGTTTTAACTGTACACTTTTTTTTTTTTTTTTTTTGGTGATAGAATGATATATTGTGCCTGCGAGAAAGAGATCTATTAAATCACTTTGCTGCTCAAGTGTCTAAATACCAAGCTCAGGGAGAAAGCAAAGAATCTGCTGTTATTGCGGTAATGAATCCTTATTTAAATTAAATTTCATCTTATATTACAATTTCTTACATAACATTTTTTTTTCTCGCAGAGTTATCGGCTAGCTGAAGATTTGGGCAGAGCCTTTTCAGACCGTGCAATTTTTCAGACTTTTGTAGAAGCTGAGAATAATGTGACAGATGTACCCCTGAAGGTACGTTTATTTTTTCCCGATTTTTCCAATATGAGTATGTATACTGATACGAGGGACTTTCAACTCGTTAGCTAATTTCGTATTGAGATGTCATATATGATTTAGTTTGAAGTTCAATGTCTAAATGATTAATGTCGTAAAATAATCATTAAAAAACTATTGGATTTATCCTAGAGTTTTCTATATTCAAAATTTATCATGTTTTTTTCAAACTTTAAACAATCTTTATAGACCGTAATATTTCTCTATCCTACTTAATATTTTTAATCTTTCTAATTTTCGGCGTTATTATCTCTCGTTGACAAACTAATAGAATTTTTATTGATTTTTTTTTGTTTTGTTAGAGCTTTTCGTCGAATTAAATCAACATTTTCGAATTCGAGTTATTATAATCTTGATAAAAAAAATTAGGTTGTATTACGATTTACGCCACAGTATCCATAGAAGAGAGCAGACGGAAAAAAAGAAACTACAATACGATGATTTAATTGAATACATTTTCATCTTTAAAATTAGAAGAACGTTTTAAGTATACTTTTAATTTAATTTCAAGTTTGATGCATGATGCAGAATATATTGAGTGTTTTGAGGTCGATGTACGTTCTGGTAACATTGGACGAAGATGCTGCGTTTCTCCGATACGGTTACTTAACAGTGGAGAATGCTGAGACAGTGAGGAAAGAAGTTGCGAATCTTTGTAGTGAAATGAGACCGCATGCACTAGCCTTGGTCACTTCTTTTGGAATTCCCGATGCTTTTCTCAGTCCCATTGCTTTCGACTGGATCGCAGCTAATTCTTGGTCCCCGGAGCAAGACTAAGCTTAATAATCCTACGATTTTCTTAATTTCGATTTTTAGTGGATGATATATAATAAAGTTGTAAGAATTTTGTTGTTTGTGTCTGAATAAAGGGTAAGATGCATGGTGGTAAGTAAGCTCCCAGACTATGATATGGCCTCTATCTTTGTTGTTTGTAACACCTGTTCATAAGACTTGAGGAAATAAACAAAATTCCATCTTTTTTTTTCAGTTTATGTAGCGTTTTGAATAAGTTCGAATCTTATCGACCAGACATATTATTAGCCCTACAATTTAGTCGGTAGAACCTAATACTAATAGTGATCGAGACATTATAATGCAAGGCTAATTGAAAAAAATAACGAAAGAACTTTGCCATTAAACGCTGGTTTACAAATCTGTTAAGTAGGGCAGCAGCAGCATAGACACTAGTATTATACAAATGTTCTAAAAATCGGTCGAGGGGGCCGATTAATCGATCGCCGAGGCGGAGGCGGTCTAGACCCTTTATGATTTTGGTTTAAAAGTTCGAAAAACTGGTGTTTTGTATGTGAGGCGGTTTTAGGCGGTCTGAGGTGGGTTGAGGCGGTCAAACCTTGGTGACGGGTCAAACTTCTGTGGCAAAAATCGTCAAAAATTGTTTTTTTAATTAAAAAAAGGGCTTCTAACAAAAAATAGTCTATGTTTTGTTTAATTTTTGTTATGTTAATTTTTATTTTTAAAGGTAATGATATACGATTGCAATGTTCAAACATAGTTTTGCATGCACAAATTTTTTGTTTTATCTTTATTTTGTAAGGATTTTTATTATATTATGATCTTATTAATGTTCAAATTTTATTATGTGATAATGATATATAAATGATGGAGATAAAATCATGTTTAAATACTTTTTTATATATGTTTTGAGTATTTATAAATAATATCTAAAGTTATATTACATCAAATTTAAAAAAACAATTTATTTTCAAGTTATCACCGTCGTACCGATTAATCGTCCAATTACTGACTTTTACAAGCTTTGTATTATCAAACTCAACTGAAAATACATTATCAACTAAATGAAATTCCTCTAAAATTGGGTGAATAAGAAGACAAATACACGCAATTACTAATTACTCTTTTACGAAGATGTAAAAAACTATAAAGTCAACAACCAGTAACACCAATTATATGGATCTCAGCTTGTCGCCAATAGTCACTCTAAATATAAGAAATAATAGCTATTTTATCAGTAAATTTATAAATAGATTTATTTGAGATAGTCCCTCACTGATTTACATAATGAGGGATTGCCCCAACTCCTTTTATATTCTTCAGTAAAATTCATTAGATGTAAGTTTCACTTTATGTAAACCTAAATAATTAGTTTATATTTTTTTTATCCCTTTTATTTATCATAGTTAGGTTTTCTTGTTATCTAATTTATTACAATTATTACTATTAATATTATTTATTTATTAAAAAAATAATTAATTAATTTTTTTTTTCTTGTTGCACGTCGTCGGAACTTCGATTTGCTGACTCACCTAATCAACATTAGTTGACTTTAGCATTAGCTGATATTGGGTTATTGTTTTTTCTTTTATCCTATTTTTTTTCTTCTTCGGTGGCGATCGTTGGAGTTCTGAGTAGATGACGTAGAATTAGTTGACTTGAACATGAGTAGGGGCATTAGCTGATATCCGATTTTTTCTTCATTTTCTTCTTTTTTTTTTTTTTTTTTTTTTTTTTTTTAGTTGGTGGGTCGTCGGAGCTCTGAGTAGCTGATTCAACATTAGCTGACATCCTATTTTTTTTTTTTTCGGCGGCGGGTTGTCAGAGATCTGATTAGTTGACTTCAACAATTAACTTGATTTAATTAACTAAATCAGTAGCTCAGACACGCCGCCGCGAAAAAAAAAAGTCGGATTTCAGTTGATTCTGAAGTCAACTAATGAGAGCTTCGACGACCCATCGTCGGAAGAAAAAAAAAAGTCAACACAAAAAAAATTGGATGTCACCTAACTTTGAAGTTAGCTAACGAGAACTCCGACAGCAACCTGCCACCGGAAGAAAAGAGAAAAAATTGTCAGATGTCAACTTATGTTGAAGTCTAACATAAACTAATTTTGATTAGTTTAGTCAGTTAACTGGACCTCCAACAACCTACCGTCGGAAGAAAAAAAAAAAAAAGTTACTAAAAGAAAATTACATGTCAGTTTATGCTAAAGTCAACTAATGTTGATTAGTTGAGTCAGCTAATCGAAGCTCTGACCACGTACTAACGGAAAATACAAAAAACAAATTAAAAGAAAAAGAAAGTAAGATGTCAGCTTATATTGAAGTCAACTAATGTTGAGTAGTTGAATCAGCTAATTGGAGGTCCGACCACCTGCCGCCTGAAATTATTTAAAAAAAAAAAAAGAGAAAAAAACGGTTGGGGTGGGTGGGGTGGGGGTGGGGGTAGGGATGGCAAATAAACCGATCCGCGAACTAATGAATTGCTCAAGTACATAAGAAGTTTCGTATCATTCCAGTCAATTCTATATTATGAATTTCATACTTCCGAAATTAATTGTTTACATTTTCAAGATCGCATAGCAAATATGCAATTTTAATCATCTTTTTGTGGTCTTGTAACATTATTTTGATGAATTTTTTTTTTATTTTTTTATTTTATATAATTTACTTCAAATGTATTTCTTATTAAAATAATTTAAATGATATGTGGATATCCGGATATTGATGATAATGGTTCTGATATTTCAATAAATGTTTACACGTGTTTGGCATGATTTTGGTTTGAGATATATTAAATGATAATGGTTCTAGTACTTTATTTTTTTCGCAAGTCTCCACTCCGCTGCTATCCATAGGTGAGGATGGTAACTATGTATATTTTTATTATTTTTTTTTAAAATGTTTGGGCTTATTTCAAATGAAAATAGGTGGGGTTTATTTTGAATATGTTTGAAAAAAATATATAAAAATAAATTATATCTAAATAAAATCTTATATATGTTTATATAGAATATTTATAAATATACCCCTATACTTTTAATATTTACACATTTTCCCCAAGTTCCCGTATCCCCATTTTCGGAACATGTCGTTTCCCCGTATTGTCGTTCTGTGTCCGTGCTACATAGCCGTTAAAAAAACAGTCAATCCACATTAGAAAAGTTGATACCTTGAAGATGACAATTGGGCCAGGTGAGCAGAACATAGGTAGGTTCAAACTCAAATATCATGGGGCTCATGATTACATGTTCAAAATCACATTACATCGGATTTTGTAATTGTAGAATTAAACTTGGCTCACATATTATTTTGGGCTTCAGGTTCAAATCGGGCTCAACTTGAACTTATAGCAGTATTTTTATTTCAATTTCATTCATATAGTCCACGTAGTACAATTTTAAAAAAAATATGCATATCAACATTTTTTTTGATGAAATTTTTCTTTTCTAATCAATTGCAACTGAGGTAAATATTTTCAATAATTCAAATCAATGTTAAATGAGAAATTTGATGACACATGTGTGTAATTCGAGGGACACTAGAGTAAACCTAGATCGTGAACTGGATGTGTAGGTTGGTAGAGACAAAATAAAATGATAAATGGCGATATCAACCGTAACAATAGTGTGCTTCGAAAATTTGAAGACAAATTCATTTATGGCTTTCTATTTTATTAAAAAGATAAAATGTCTACTCTTACTCGTAACTAGTTTTAGTTTTGCTTTCTTGGAGTGTCGATCAATTTAGAGTGAGTATTGAACCTTAACTTAGTAGGCATAATGCTCATCATTGCACTGTCATGTTCATTTTGGAGGAATATTTTCTAGAAATAAAGTCGAAAAGGTTATTCATCTGCGAAAAGAAGATGGAAGTAAATCAGAATTAGATGATTCGTGAATCTTCCAAAATGCATAACTAATTTTGACAAACAATACTTGTTATCTAGGTTGAAACCCTTCTTCAGCTAAGAATCTTTCAATTGGATTAACTCCTGAAATTATTTGACAATATTAATCTTGTTTCATTGTTACAACAAATTGCCTTTGTCTATTAAACATTTTTGCCATACAAAGTTATAATCAAATGAACTAGTACGTGATCGACCTAAACCATAAATTTCATTGCCATAGTCAAATTCACACGTATAAGTAAGTTCATACCATGTAACCAAATTGATTAAATGCAAGACATCGCAAGCTCCTCGATGAGAATAAAACCAAGAGTGGAACTCTCACAAATTTGGAATCATAATATAAACATCCAACATTAAAAGTTGTCAAAAGTAAATATTTGTTCAAAATCAAACATCATCCACCACTAACCAACATATTACACGTCAATAATTGCATATACTAATTAACAAATGGACACAAATAGTCAAGTAACAAATAAACCAAAACACATATATTCACTATTGTTTTAGATTTTTTTTTCAACTGCAATGTTCAAAAATAAATTGAAAATCATGCCCCATCAATTATGAAGATCAACTTTTGATTGGCCGATATATTGTGAAGACATATCGCAGATACTCCATACACTACTCACATAAATATTTCGATCCCAACTTTCCTTAGCCTCATTCCTTTTGGAAATATAGATTCAAGTGGTGCATCGTCTTGAACCTACACATGAAGAAAATAATTACATTATAGAAGAGAAACCAATAGAAGTTGCGCTAATATATGTTTGTTATTCAACTGCAAGTTATGTTGCAATTTAAGTAAAATCATATACAATGTATATGCCTATAAAAAGACGTGAAGACGTGACCGACCCTTTTGCGTTATTTTACCGTGAGTAAATTGGAGTCTTATAGTATGACCCGAAGTTTTATTAGAAAATAAATGTTTTGAAAAAATCGAATTGGCGTCCTATTGACTCGAAAAGACGCAAAAACATATAAATTCGTTCATTTTTTCCACCACATTGCAGTCTTTAATTTCCTAATTATTTTTCCACTATAGTCTGTAAATTGAATAATATTTGCTTAAGGAATTTTAATTTCATATTTTGAATATACTGTGTTTTAATATTTTGGAGGACAAAATAACTGTGGTTCCGGAGGATTCTCTTCTAGAGAAGAAAGAATCCGAATTGAAATTTAAAATTGAGGACAAAATAACTGTGGTTACGAATGATTTTGTTCCGGAGAAGAAAGAATCCGAATCCATCCTCAGGTCGTTGGTTCAAACCTTCTCAACTGACAACCACAGGGGTGCATTGGTAGAGAAGAAATATACAAAAAAATGTCTTTCGATGGACCGTGTGTGGTAAAGGATGCGGGAGTGCTGGTGAACTAACAACGCACTACGCTAAACACTCTGATATCTTCAATTCGAAGAAATCCAAGGTCAAAAGTTGTAAATGTGGTGCTAAGTTCCTCAATAAAGATAACTACAAGGAACATAAGAACTCCGGCGAGTGTCCTTTGCTCCCAGGAGAAAGCCTCACCCAACTTAAAAAGCAGAAGGTGGCTGAGGCAAGGGCAAGGGCAAGGGCAAGGGCAGAGAAGAGGATTGAGTAAGAAGAAGGCTGGATGCTGTGTATAGTTCGATATATTGAGAAAGAAGGCTGTATTGTTTACTTTTTTCTTTTTTGGTACAACCTATTGTAAATAAACATATCTACTTTGAGCATTGTACTCTTATCTGAAAATCTGTCTTTTAATTTGACGAATCAATTTTCCTTAATTTCCCTATTTCCTTGCAAAGCAGAGGTTTTGACTTCAATGTAATACCATCACTGGCTAGTTCCTGCACAAATTTCTCCGATACCACAAAAAAAGAAAAAAAAAGATTTATGTACGAAATAAATGAAAGATCGAGGGCGATACTTTTGTACCCGTATTCATTTTTTGTCTTCTTTTCTAATTTCAATTCCCGCCCCCCTAAACGAAAAAATCGTAGGTAGAGCGAGAGAGGGGCAACTTGAACAAAAGAGAGTTATTAGACAGCCACAAGGTTGACTCTAATACAAACAAAATTGAACAAAAGTAAATAAAAAATATACTTAAAAAACAACCATGTAAATTACGATTAGTTTTGTTCAACCACGACCTTCACCTTCACCTCAGTCGCCGCCGCCACCACCACCAGCATCGCCTCCACTTCCACAAATGAAGTTTCCTGCTTCATCTACACCTAACCTTTTTGAAGAATGCGATTCTTGAAATGCTTGATTCATTTTCTCTAGAAATATCCAAATAATTCAAGAAAATAAAGAATATATATATATATATATATATATATATATATATATATATATATATATATATATATATATATATTATGTATCCGGATATATATATATATATATATATATATATATATATATATATATATATATATATATATATATATATATATATATATATATATATATATATATATATATATATATATATATATATATATATATATATATATATATATATTTCATTGTTAAAATATTAATGGTCAATCTTCCATCTTTGTTTTAATCATCACTTATGGACTATGGTGGAGAAAGAATTAAGGAAATTAATGAACACAATATGGTGGAGGGCATGAAAGAATCGATATGTTGTTGGGTCTAGTATCCAATTCAAGTTTTAGAAAATATTTTGGAAATGTATGGTCCCACAACTTTGAATAAATTTTTTGAAATGTATTGATTTTTGTGTAGAAAATGAAAATTTGTGGATGTAGTGATATTTCTAGTTTTATATAGGTGGAAAGTAAAACATGTTTTGTTGTGATGTGTTTCTATATGGAATTATGTGCTAAAAATGTGATTGATGTCTATGACCGATTATGATCATTGTTTATGCGAAGGGTTTATGCCAGTGTTTTGAAAATCGGCCGTGCCGGCCGATTAATCGGTCTCCAAGGTGGTGGCGGTCTCCAACTTTTACGATTTTTGTGTACAAGTTTAAAAAATTGGGTTTTTGCCTATGATGTAGTTTTAGGAGGTTTGAGCCGGGTTGAGGCGGTCAAACCTTGGAAGGCGGGTCAAACTTTGGAAGCGAAAATCGGTCATAAAATGGTATTTTTTTCTTTAACTTTTTTATTTCAAAAATAAAAGCTGGGCTTTTAATTAAAAAAAAATGGGTTTATGCTTTATTTTGTTTATGTTGTTAAAGAATCCAATAATATATGCTTGCAATGTTCAAGAATAAATTTAAATTCAAAAAAATTGCGTTTTATTTGTATTTTATAAGGATTTTTATTATTATAATCTTACAATCGTTAAATTTTTATTATACTATTAGGATATATATATGATGGGGATATAATCATGTTTAAATATTTTTTTATATATGTTTTGAATATTTATAAATAATATCTAGAAATATATTATATTAAATATTAAAGGGTTTATTGAGATAGGCCCTCATTAACTTACATGATATAGGATAACCATTGATTGTAAGTTTCATTAGCTTATACACCCTGATTAGGGTTTGCTTTATCTTATTTTATTTTATTTTTATTATTATTTATTTATTTAAAAAAATAACTTAATTCTTTTTTAATTTTGTAATTTTGTAGTTTTTTTTTAAAAAAAATTTACGCCTGTGGCTTGGGTGGTTGGAGCCCTGGTTAGCTGACTCAACATTAGTTGATACTCCATTTTTTTCCCTTTATTTTTTTTGTAATCTTAATTCTTTTTTTCCGGCGGTGGGTAGTTGGAGCTCCGGTTAACTAACTCAGCATTAGTTAACTTCAACATTAGTTGACATTCCATTTTTTTTTTCTTTTTTTTTTTCATTTAATTTGTTTCCGTTGTTGGGTCGTCGAAACTTCAGTTAGCAGACTCAACTTTAGTTAACTTCAACATTAGTTAACTTTCAATTAGTTGACATCTCTCTCTCTCTTTTATTTTATTTTATTCCTAGCAGCTGTTCGTCGGAGCTCCGGTTAGCTGAGTCAACATTAGTTGACATAAATATATATTTTTTTTTCCATTTATCTCTTTTTAATTTTTTTTTTCCGATAACGGGTAGTCGGAGCTCCGATTAGTTGATTTGCATTAGCTGACTTCAATAAGCTGGCGTCCAACTTTTTTTCTTTGAACTTTTGTTTTTTTTTCCTGCAACGGGACACCATAGCTCTGATTAGCTGAATATGCATTAACTAACATCCGACCATTTGTCATTTTTCTTTTTAATTCTTTTTCTCAGCGGCAGATATTTAGGGCTCCGATTAGGTGATTAAGCATTAGCTAACACCGGATAGTTTCAATGTTGAAGTCAGCTAATCGTAGCTCAGACGATCCGCCATCGGAGCAAAAGAAAAGGTTGAATGTTAACTAATGTTGAAGTTAACTAATGTTGAGTGAGCTAATTAACCAGAGACCTAACGACCCGCCGCAAAAAAAATGTCAAATGTCAACTAATGTTGAAGTTAATTAATGTGGAGTCAGATAACTAGAGCTTCGACGACCCGCCGCTAGAAAAAAAAATTCTAAAAGAAATGGTCTGACCGGCCTGGTGGGCGCGTGGGATGGAAGGGGTGGGTTGAACTTTTGTCATATAAAAATATGTAGGATTATTTTGGTAATTCATGTCTTTGTGGATTTATTTTAAATGGAAGTTAAAGAGTGGATTGATTTGTAGTGAAACTTCATTCCATGAGCTTAGCTCAAATTCACCCAATTTTAAAAGTCAATTTATTTTTGATTTATCGCCGATTAATCACGCCGCACCAGTTAATTGTAGACACCCTCCTCCGACTCAATTTCCATTTTTTCCAACCTTAAGTTATACATGGTTCACTTTCTAGTGAGAGCAATTGTGAGGGAAAGAAT